TCGCTTAAGTCGCTGCATGTGTCCGACATCAGTCGCTCACACTCTCGACGCTACAGCCCGCCTGCTCCGATCTGAATTGCTGTATGTGTTTTTTTACCCTAAGACATATTAGGTATAGAAGCACAATTAATTGGACATAAGTTATCTAGATCCTAACATTTATAGGTACGGTACTACAATTCAAAATGGCCTTGATTTACGCAATATCGTAGCCTTAAATGGTATCTTCAATCTTACGCAATTGGCTATTATTAAAAATTGAAAATAGGGCACTGCATTGGAGTTGCTTATTTGGATAAACCCAAGCAAAAAATTGCCAACTACGACTTGGCTTATTTTCTAACTCTGTCGACTATTAGGCCCCTACAGGCCTAGGCCTAACTAAGTAAAATTAGGATGAAACATGTATTCATGGTGATACTCCAAAGTCAATTAAAAACCAAGAAGTACATGCCTAGGAGTAAAGTTTGGCAGAGAACCTGTGATGTATTAATATCGTTTTAAATATAAATAAATTGAGGCCTGTATCGATTTTGATTCGGTTTGATACATAAGAAGCTATCGTTTCCACAATATAATTTTGTTATTTGAATGTGTGTCGAATTGAGCTAAATTATTGATTTTCAGTAAATGAAATTACAATACAATGCAAGTATTGATAAAAATGCAAGCATTTTTGAAAAGGTAATTTGAAGTGTTTTTCTCAAGATTTTAATTTTACAAAAACAGTATGCAGGCGACATAAACTAACAACTCGATACATTATAACCTAAACTTTACCTTCCTAATCTAACATAACTTCAAAACACTTAATGCAGTCACCAATTCGCATAAAGCACGACCTACCACCCTGACATGCCTAAATGAGAACTGTAATTTTTACAGTTGCTTGTCGTGTGGTTGAAAACAGTCAGCTGTAGGCTAAGTTAACCCACAGTTCATTCCACTTGTAAATGTTATCCATCCTACCTTGTTTATTGTAATGTTGTATCTTGAGAAATACAAGATACGTATATATCTACGGCTATATCTTGAGAAATATTCATCAGCGGTGAAAAATAATAGTATATTTGGATTCAGGAGGTAAAAAAATAAATGTAAGATATCAAAATTAAAAATTCGTTTGGAGGCACCTTTACGGAATAAATACGTATCGTTTGGTGACTTAGGTAGGTAAGGTTAACCTAACCTAACTAACCAAACAATATATCGAATTAAACAATCGAATAACTTAATCAATATTACTCATTCGGTTATTTGTGCCAACAGATATGGAAGTTTACCCACACAGGCTGCTATTCTTGTCTTAAGTACAGTAATTTAATTAGCCTACTGTTTTCTAGAAGCGGAGCGACACACATTGTTATTCGCTTTTCCGCAATCCGGGCCGAGAAAAACCCAGCTTAAGTTAAGGCCCAGAGATATAGGCTACCTACCTATGTAAGTCAAAGGCAAGAAGCAATTGATCTATATAAGGCCTAGGTCCTTAAGCTTAAGTTAATTGGACTGTAGAATAGGCCAAGGTAGGCCTAGGCTATTAGCCTACCTTTGATTGTACGCTACCCGAACACGAACGTTGTCAGTTTTGATAGGGCACACTCTTGTCAGTTTAAAATGGGCCAACTTTTGAAAGATCATATCTCAACAATGACAATTAATTTTTAAACAACACAGTAATATATTTCCTTCCTTGCCAATGGCCATGAATCCCTCAGATTTTCTTGGTTAATGCATCGAGCCTCTTTAACCTGGATCTAGTCTTTTAGTTGCGATTGACGACTGTAGTATCACAAACTACACTTCAAAGTGTAACCATAACACCCTAACTACTACAATTAATTACTTTATTACTATTTAACTAACGGTGTTAACATCAACATAAAACAAAACTCAGCTCAGCAGCAGACAGCACCCAACAACACGAACACACAATACACAATCACGAATCACAACACAATCCAATCGACGACGACGACGATAAACAAATTTTGAAAAAAAGTGACTCTTTAAAAAAAAAATAGTAATAATTAGGCTGATATTATTCAAGCCTACTGAACAAAAACCATAACAACATGTAACTACCTAAATAATTTTATAGAATGTAAGTTAATAAATTTCGGTGGATATTTTTAAATCCGATATTTATTTCCACAGATAAATATTCTTTTAAATAGTTATAAGTTAGTGTAAAGCGTTCTTATGCGTAAAACTGTTTACTCCATGGATGAAAGAAATAGACAATTTGGTCTCTTTGTCTAAAGCAAGAAGCAAAATAACAAAATTGTTGCTCGTAAAATGTAAACAAAAAAAAGAAGAAGAAGGTAGCTCCTAATGTTATTCTTATGGGGGAAAATTAAAATGGTTTTTTTTAGGATTAAATAGTAATTACTGAACAAATATGCTCCAAAAACGATCCCCGGCATGATATTATACTATAGAATCTTTGTGCAAAACATCAAGTTGATAGATGTAATCGTTCTCGAGTTTTTGTAATCCATAGAGATGCTTTTCGTACCAGTATGAGAATTCACTTCGTTCATTCAATAAAAGTCTATATATATATATAAGTCTATATATATATATATGTCTATATATATATATATAAGTCTATATATATATATATATATATATATATATAAGTCTATATATATATATATATATATATATATATATATATATAAGTCTAGATATATATATATATATATATATATACATATATAAAAATTTGAACGAATGGTGTTTTTGGCCTCTGGGGACATCAAAATGAAAAAGTAAATCGGTCCCGGGTCTAGGTCTTACCGTGCCACCTACGGTAATAGCTACTTCCCTATAGGGAAATTCGCTAAAAGTGTTTATTATGGTATTTTGAAAAGGAATAACTTATATTCTGTGGGAACTGATAGTCCACAGGAAGTCGTAATTGAGTCACAAAACACAGAATTTCATAACAAAATACCTAACTCATTTTCATAACAGATGAAGAAATCACTCAACACTACAACAACAAACTCCTGGACCGATTTGAGAACTGTTTAAAGATTACTGGAACAAGAAGCTTACATTGCTTTATTCCTGTACCGGACAGTAGTAATGTTAGGTCTCACTAGCAACTGAATATGAAGTTCATTCAACATCACAAGCTGTAAAAATTACACTTCATACAAAAGACTGTATTGCATGTGTGTATGACAATCAGTGGTGGGTGGCAGAGGTGATTGACATCAGTGACCAAAATAAAGATCCAGCAGGACCAACAACCGCCTTTAAAAAAAATGATAAAGACCAAGCTTGGGTGCCTATAAACAAAGTTAAACTGACAACAACACTGGAAGGACATACAACATCACCCTCAAACTGAATGAAGAACTATCCAAACTTCTTAATGAGCACAATCGAAGTATAACAAAAAACACTAACAAGTAAAAAAAGTTGTATCGAGGCCTACCTATATAATTCTTTAAGAACTTCAAACAGCTTTTGTATGTGAAATTTCTAATATTCTTTATAAAAATAAAAGTGTTTCAATAAATCTATATAAATAATATTTATTGTAAAAAATTTGTATAGGCTAACTTAAACTCAAATAAAAATATTCTGATAAGTTTTTTTTTATTTCACATAGACAACAAATTTGCAAGAAAAAGCTATACATTACTTTAAAGTAGGTAAGTTAACATTAAATAAAATAATTACCTACAGCTATAAATTAATCTTTAAGCATGAGATTTTTTCACCATCAGCAAGTTTGGTTGGTTATGATGGTTTTATTTTTTTAGACTAGCTGTACCCGCGGGCTTTGCCCCGTTTAACTTCATAAGTGAGCTCGTTCGCATGGCTCAATCACGTCCTGGTTGAAGTTCGTTCGCTACGCTCACTCACTGTTAGGTTCGCTGCGCTCACTTGCCTTCAGGTTAGCTCATTCCCTACGCTAACTTGCTTCCAGGTTGAGGTTCGTTCGCTTAGCAGTTGTCATAAATGTAAAAGAAATAATAGTGCTGCACCCTGTTGGTAATCCTTGTAACTTTAATGCTATTGAACATCATAGAACAGAACCAACTAACTTGTTTAATTGAAACAGCTGTTGAGATTCATTCATTCCATTTAAATATGAGTACTCCTCAGGTTAACATGGGATACTCCAGAGCCACTGGGGCGTAGCCCTTTAGACGGATCTGCACCAAACTTCACACAAACCATCCTTGAATAATGCTTAATAATCGCTGAAAGTTCCATTACAATCTGTCAAGCGGTTTCGGAGTCCATAAAGGACAAACAAACATACATACGGTACATTGGATTTTATATATGTAGATATATTTCAAAATATTGATTATTAATCAATATTTTCAATTTGATAGTTTCAATGAATATTAGCGTAGCCCAGTTAAGAACCAGTTAAGAAACTGTACCCCACTTCCATATCTTTTGGCACAAACAACCTAATGGGGTACAGTTTCTTAACTGGGCTGTGACGCTAATATCGATTGAAACTATCGAATTGAAAATATTAATTAACAATTGATATTTTAAAATATACTATCTATTATGAAATTAAACTATCATAACCTAACCTAACCAACCAAACTTGCTGATGGTGAAAAAATCGCATGAAGGTTTACTAATCAAATCGATTGTTTTAATCGATATTAGCGTAGCCCAGTTAAGAAACTGCACCCACATAATGAAAATATCGATCGATTATTCGATAAAGGCCCTAGGGTATCATTTGGTTGTTTGGATAAGGTCGAAAATATTCCTAGGTTTCTAACCTAGGCTAACTAACCAAATTATATATCAAATTAAACAATCAAATAATCAATATTACTCATTCGGTTGTTTGTGCCAACAGATATGGAAGTGTACCCAAGTCCAGGTTTCTCTAAAAAATTGTGAAAAAGCTAAGCTAGAAGAACAAGATAATTTAGGCCTATATATTAGAAGAGGGGACATGATATTGGGTTTTTTATCAATGTTAAGATTTGCTAGAGTAATCATTTTACCTCAATAATGTTGGTGAAGTCATTTTTTTTTAATCCTTTTTCTCAAGGTTCTGAAATAGAACTAGGCTAGGCCTGAGTTAGGTCTTGTTGGGAAATTCCTCTTGATATCTGTATAACTTAGCTTATAGTTTATTTTTCACTAAAATTTCAAAAATATGATGGAAAATAGCAAATAACTTATGTAAATTTTATGTTAACAATTCCTGCATTACATTTTTTTATAGAAATCATCTCATTGTAGGCCTTATATTGAAGAGATGTGCGGTAATTTAGTTTCATAACCTAAAACTTGAGACTTGAGGAGAATTCCTTTATTATTCTTACTCTTACTATTCCGATCATATTTTCCTCCTTGATAATTTTTTTCAAATTTCTTGTTTTTATCATTGTCATTAAAAGTAGGTAAAGTACTTGATTAAGCGAGCAGTTTGAAACACGGTTGGTCCTGCCTACCTAGATGATTGATTATGAGGAATAAACACTGAGCTATAATAATAACTGGAGTAACCATTCTGTGTTTTAAAAACGTACCACTGTTTTTGCTGGTTTTGTTTCAGAGTTTCGTTTTGTTAGGTTGGCCGGGTGATCGGGTTGGTGGGACTTGTCAAATTAAGCCGGGTTTTCCTAGGCGCGGAGTCGGCCAGCCGAGAGAGGAACACGGAGAGCGGACTCAGCTTGTCTTAGGTAATTTAATGTTACTGTTTTCCTAGCAGCGGAGCGGAATGCCATGTTAATTTCAATTCCGCTCTCCGCGTTCCTCTCTCCGTTGGCCGACTCCGCGTCTAGGAAAACCCAGCTTAAGACTCTTCTTAAGACTCTCTCTTAAGTTAAGAGGCAAAATCAAGATGGCGTCATCCTGTTTTGTTGATGATAGTAAACAAAAATCTGCCAACTCAACATTATGATTGCAATATAAGTTTATTTATTTATTTTACGAGCAAGAGCAACCCATTTTAACAGGATCATAAACCGATGGTCGTTATTTAATCAAATGCAATAGGGCTATTGGCCTAAACCAATATCTCCAAACCAGGAAACTTGACTAGCCTATTTTCACCAAATAGCTTGAAAAGAGGTAAATAAGTTAGTATTTATTTACTATCAAACAAAAACAATTTATAATGTTTCAAAATAACTTAAAAATACAGAGGTTTTAACGTGCCATAACTTAAATAAGTTTTTGATACAAGTCCTTGAAATAACGGATAACATAACCCCAAATAAATAGTATGGTTAGGTTCGAATGAATTGGAATTATTTGACAGCATCCCACCAACCGATCACACGGCCAACCTAACAACACGAAACGCCAAAAACAAACCAGCCAAAACAGTGGCACGTTTTTCTCTAACGTTTAACCAGAGAGTAGTGACTCCAGTTACAATCTATTATCTCAATGGGAATAAAGCATGCATGGGTATATTGTTTGTATTCGATCAAAACACTTATTCGTGCTTATTAATGCCTTTGAGGTGCTGCTGGTCGAAAAGATTGAATAAGAGTTGTTTTCAGTGGATTCCAGGAGTTATGTTTAATGTTCAGTTTTCTTACACTCGAATCTGTCCTCGTCCCAACACCAACAAGCGGCTGGTAGCCCTAAGAGTACTAGCTAGGCCACTAGGGCCGTCAAAGCTCTGTCCGTGTGGCACAGAATCGAGAACTGCACACACACACTAACACAGACGCGTGCGACGTTTACTTACGCTGACATTCAATCGTTCGTTTACCCTATCAGCTGATGTGAGTTTGAGAGGAAGTTTGAAAAATTAAGTGGAACAGTCCTGTTCCAAGGCTTATGCAATCCGGCAACAACGACTCTGCGTCAGTGGGACCTCTTCAATGAGAGCCTAGCAGCATAGATAAAACATACTCCTTAAGGTATACTCCTTGAGGAGTATGTTTTATCTATGGTTTTATCTATGCTACAAGATAGTGTCACTCATCATACACTCGTACTTCTATCATTTTTTGGTTAAAATACGCACATAATGGCGTCCCCATCTTAAATAATTGATATAATTGATTCTTGCATCCACTCCACATTGTTAAATAAAAAGACAGTTGCTAAAACATTTCTATCTATAAGAGTTGACCCACGGTCACCTTTAACTCCGGTAGCTAAAGGTGGCCGTGGTTGACCTCAAAGGTATAAAACATGATCATGTATAACACTGATCAGCTGTCAGCTGATATAATAGTGTTGCTGTGATACTCACTTTAGACAAACCCATTTTTTACTAGTTTTCTGCTATTAAAATCAGATTTCTTATATCCTTGAAAATAGGTTAGGGTATTTTGTAACTTTGTAAAGATAAAATTGTCATACAAGTGCAACACAATTATACAATTTTGCCAATTTTCTTAAATATAATGGTTTCCGAAGATGGACATTCTTCAGGGGAACACCACGAAAACCTTTTTATTAGATTTCTTGGCAAAGTGGTCAATGCCATTGAAGAGCCTGTCGTTTGGTTTAGAGGTAAGCTAAAGTAACACAAAATAGGATATACATTTCAACGTTCATGATGCTTTACCATTAAATTTGATTACTTTTGTACTCAAAAGGAGCTTTTGTCCAATTCTGTTATGAAACTCATTCCTCAAAGGTCATACAATAGGCCTACAGTGTGGCCCAGGTTATAAACTAGGCCTAACTTAAATCTTAGTCCTTCCTTAAGTAGGCTTTCAGATTGTAGTTCCACAGAGAACCTGCAATATATTATCGGATGAATAACGTTATATATCGATAATTATCCGATTCAATCCCCAAACTTAAGTTACCTGCCTATCTTTCCTACTATGTTTTTTTCACCATCGATCGAGCACCCAAAGCACCCTACTTTCATCAGGAACATTCGAGGATGTGACATTGAAAAGGTTAAAATTGACCTCCAGGACGGAGCCATTCAGCTCGACTAGGCTATGATTGCAGCGATGTCAATCTTCAATTTTCCACTTTTTGCAGTCAACTCAGCGAACTCATCAAGTCTCACTCTCCTTGAAAGTCTGTCAGTCCCTCCGTCTTTCCAAAATGGTTCTCCAAAGAGCTTAGGGAACTTGTTATTCTGAAGAAGACGCTTCACAAGAAATTTAAGATAGGCTATCTCTCAACATGATTGACTACCACAACTTTAGCGTCATTCGGGACCGATGCAGGGCTGTATCCAGGGATTGTCGTTTGAGCTACGTCAACCATGTTAATACTACCATTTCCACTAATGTCAAGATCTTCTGGAGTTTTGTGAAGAATCTCAATCGCACATCTTCCATGCCCTGCTCCCTTAAACATGGTCCAACTGAGGTTTCCCACCCACATGAGATGTGTGAGCTGTTTGCCGAATATTTCTCGTCCGTCTACTCTCATGCGTCCCTTGATGAGCTGCCAGTACCTTCATTTGATACTCCATTCACCATCTCAGAATGTGCTATCTCCCTAGAAGATATCAATAAGAAGCTTCTTCACTTGGACCCCACCAAGGGTAGTGGACCTGACAACATCACGCCAGGAGTACTCAAATTCTGCCACTCTGAGCTGGTACATCAGCTCCATTTCCTATTTAACCTCAGTTTGTCTACAGGCACTTTTCCCTCCATACTGAAATATGGTTATGTGGTTCCAATCTTCAAAGCCGGTGATCGTTGCGATGTTACAAATTACAGGCCCATAGTAATCCAGTCCGTCCTCAGTAAAGTTTTTGAAGGGCTTATTTTAGACATTGTACAGCCTTTATTTAAACATATCATAATTGATGAGCAGCATGGCTTTACCTCCGGTCGCTCCACTGTGACGAATCTTTTATCTCTCCAGTGTCTGGTGTTGGAAGCCTTTGGTCGAAGAAATCAAGTTGACGCCATTTACATTGACTTTAGTAAAGCTTTTGACAAGATAAATCATCATCTGCTTGCAAAGCTCCAGGGTTATGGGTTCACTGGAAGGATTCTACAATGGTTTAAGAGCTACCTTACCAATCGACGGCTTGCTGTACGCCTTGGTTCTGAAGTCTCTACTTTCTTCGCTGCAAGTTCTGGTGTTCCTCAGGGGTCTCATCTTGGACCGTTCTTGTTTTCCATCTTTATTAATGACATTAAGAAGGTCATCAAAGTCCTATTTCTTCTATTTGCGGATGACATTAAGCTACTCGTTGAAGTTGCATCACATCATGACTGCCAGTCCTTGCAGGACGCCCTCGATGACATTTGGCTGGTGCCTCTCCAATGACATGGCTGTGAATCCCACAAAAACCAAATTGATCACGTTCAGCAGGAAATTAAATACAGTGTTAGCTGACTACTCTCTTGATGGCAACCGGGTTGAGAGATGCAATACCATCAAGGATCTTGGTGTTCTAATTGACTCCTCATTCGAGTTTGGTCCCCACATAAACCAAATCTGCACTAGGGCCTCTCGTATGCTCGGTTTGGTATTCCGCTCTGCTAGACATGGTTTGAGCAACCATGCCTGTATTATCCTATACAAGTCTCTCATCCTGCAGCTACTCGAGTATGCTTCCTTAGTTTGGTCACCATACCATCTTGGCCATATTTACCATCTTCAGTCGGTACAAAGACGCTTCATCAGGTTCCTGGGATGTCGTGCTGGACTTGACTTTCGTGACGTCTGGGTAGACGAGCTCTCTAATATCTATGACATTCCGAGTCTTGAAAACAGAAGGCGGGTGGCTGATGTGACCTTTCTCTACAAACTGATAAATAACCAAGTCAACTGCCCCTTCTTGCTGGAAAGGATAAACTTCCATGTTCCTTCGAGAATCACGAGACATCAGCGTGTATTTGAACTTGACCATACTGGGACCAACTACGCCAGATCTAGTCCCATTCCCCGGATTATGCGCCTCGGGAATGTGATAAGCAGCTCTGTTGACCTTTTAACTGAACTGCCTCCTTGGGAGTGGTTCGGCGTTCTGCGGCTGACAGCATCCTTGAGGGTACCCCGTAAAAGCATTGTTGTTGTTGTTTCTTTGTTGTTGATTTTTCTCTTGTTAATTTTGTGATCTATTTTGTTTGTATTCTTGTTATTGATATATTCATTGTTATATTTTGTTATTGTTATATTTTTTGTACATTGTTATATTTTTTATACATTGTTATTTTTTTTCTTAAATATTGTTTTCTACTTCTCTGTTAATTATTAAATCTTTATAGGTAATATTTGTAACTACTTAATGTAAAATGGTGTTTGCCGTTGGTGTTTAATAAATAAATAAATAAATAAACCAGGCCTAACTTTTGTAATAAATAAAACAACATTAGGCTAGGCCACCAAAAACAAATAATATTTAGGGCCTAATAAAAAAAAATAGATATAACTAAAACCACAAACTATGATAAAAAGAACTAGGTAATTATATCAAACACGGACGTCTTGCTAAAATTATATTTTGTTCACTTTTCTAATGCTAGGCCTAAATAACGTCCCAAATTAAAAAATGATTGTCTTTTTCCCCGGACAAGCACAACATTTTTGCGGAAATGGGGCATGAGGGTACTCAAATAAACCAGTATAGTGAGCTGAACAAGAACATGCAAGAATTTTTAAAATTTTATGAAAATTAACGGAGATACGGCCAAAAAAAATTTTTGTGGTAACCATGTAAACCACCTATATTATTGTTCTTTGTCTTATTCTGAACAAAATGATATATAACAATCCATAGTTATGTTGCTATTTCTGATTTTTATGATGGTTTAAAAATGATATTACATAATCAATAATAGGCCTATCCCTATGCCAGAACAGCGTTACACTAGTGCCAGCTCTAGGGTTAATATCTATTGGATCTTAAAAATTCTTGCATATTCTCGTTCAGCTCACTATACTGGTTAATTTGAGTACCCTCATGACCCATTTCCGCAATAATGTTGATTTTCCGCATTCTCGGGGAAAATGACAATCATGTTTGAATTCAGGACGTTATTTAGCATAATAACAGTGAAAAAATATAATTTTAGTGAGACTTCCGTTATTGATATCTAGGTAGTTACCAAAACTAAAGCAGCTTATGATTTTTCTTTTTACGGGATCAAACATGTTTTTTTTTAGAAAATCAACTCAGTTTTCCATAAACTGCATAAGTTAATATTACAAAATTAATTGTTTCCTCAATTTTTAATCGTAAGTAACTTACTAGGATATATAATTGACTGTGGATAAAATAAACACAAAAAGCATCTTTAATGTTTTTGTTGTACCGGTACGTAATAATTAACAACAAAAAAACATTTGGCCAAGTTAGGCATTAATAATAGAGTTCAATTATTGTTCTATTTATCATATAGTTTTTTAGTCCTAATCGATACAATATTAATATCAAATCGGATACATATTGATATACAGTATATAGTCATTCATCCAATAATATATTACAGGTTCTCTAGGCCGAACTGTATCTGTCCAAACTATTAACCCTCCGAGTGTCACGCGTCATAAAAATGACGCACAACACACTTTGTGTAGGGTCACGCGTCACTTTTATGACGCACAAACATCGTTTACGGCGAAGGCTCTATGACTGACTGAATCGGATTGAACTGGATCGAGTTAGGTATCGTTCTTTCCGTAATATTCTAAGCTTTCTCCAGAGGTCTGTCTCTAAGCGCTATTCATTTTAGTTCCGAAAATATTGTAGCAGACAGCTGACGTGCGTGTATTTGTAAACAGCTAGGTTCCCCCGGACCGATGACTGATGTGTTTTATTACGTTTATCATTGTTTTAGTGTTAAAAATCAAAAGTAGTGATATACGTGGTGCATTATAAGAAGATTTAAGTGGTTTTGAAGTGCTGGTTGATGATCCTGAAGAAGTAGGTAGTGATATTGATGTAAATTATCAGCCAGATTCCTAGCTATGGTTAGGCTATGCATTCTTAGCTAAACGCTATGTACTGAAATCCGTTTTTCGCTCATAACTTATTTATTTGATAACTTACCTCGCTATATGATTATATATTTGTAATCCTCATTAAATTTAGAACAAAGTGGCTATTTTCAAATATTTATAGGCCTATAATTTATACAATTTCATTGAGCGCGAACTTATTTTTTTTTTTGAAAATTTTGAAATTATATTTTTTTTTACCTAAAAATTTTTTTTTTGAAAAAATGTTCCTTATGTTTTATATATAATATTGAAGCCCATGATTTTCCAAACAAAATGGTATATAGAACATTAGAATTGACATTGTTTTAAGCTTCTCAGATCCGTTTTAATAAAACCTTGCAAAGGGGCCAAAAATAGGTGGACATTAAGGCCTAAACTATGGACACTCGGAGGGTTAAATAACAAATTAAATTTCTGTTGTACTGGCAAACGTTCATTTGTTACAACAATTTGTGACCTCTCCTATGGGGAATGTAGCTCTCTTCAGCTGTGTTTTACTTAGTACGTGGGATGTTTTTCAGGGACGGTAGTGGAACCTAATCGAAAACAGTACCCCTGGTACCATCAGAAGTTCCGCAGGGTTCCCACCGTTGACCAATGTTATGATGATGATCGAGTTTGCAAATTTGAGGCTCAAGAACAGTTTAACCGTGACCAGTGAGTGCAATTTTTAATCTATCTTCACAGCTTTTGTTTTGATTATTGAACCAGATTTTTTTCTTAAAGGCTAGAGATAAACCCCCAAATGTCCGAATGATGTTGCCCAATGAAGAAAAAGTTCCAAGAACCTTTTTTTAGCAGCTAAGTTTAGTTACAACCAGCCATTTTTTATTTTCATTTCATACTAATAAATAAGTTATCGTACTTAACTCTCGAAGAAAAGAAAAAAAAAACAGAAGGGTAATTGTGTAGGAACACACTAAAAAAGTCTGGTCTTTATAGTCAGTACTGAAACAAAGCTACTCAAGACATTTACCACTCTATTCTACAGCCATCACTTAGGCCCCACACTGTATGACTAAAATACACCCATTAGCAACCCCCATATTTTTTAGTGATTTAATGTTATAACATTTTATGAGCCTATTTGATAACTGTTTTCAGTCCCTCCCAGTAAGTTAGCCTAAGATATTAAAAACTAAAAATGTCCAAAAACCTTAATTTAAACTATAATTATGTAAACAACTATTACAGGGTGTAGGCCTATACCAACCGGGAAAACCGGGAGAACCGGGGAATAACCTTGAATTTGAAGGGACCTGGAAAAACCGGGAAAAAGCCGGGATTTTTGGACCGATTCCGGGATTTTTATTTTAGCCCCGGTAGAAGATTGTAGTCGTAAAATGCGTCTTGCCGCGATTGCGGGCGACGACGATGACGTTTTCGTGACCGCGGGAGACGTCGATGACGTTTTCGTGACCGCGGACGACGGCGATGACGTTTCCATATCTGCGAGAGGCAATGATGATGTCTACACGGCCGCGGAAGATTTTCGTGATATGCCGTGACCGTGAAAGACGACGATGATGATTTCTACACGGCCGCATGAAATGCTCATGATTTTGCCGCGATAGCGGCACGACGATGACGTTTCTGTGACCGTGGGAGACGACGATAACGTTTCCGTGACCGCGGGAGGTGATGATGACGTTTCCGTGACCACGGGAGACGACGATGACGTTTCCGTGACCGCGGGAGACGACGATAACGTTTCCGTGACCGCGGGAGACGACGATGACGTTTCCGTGACCGCGGGAGACGACGATGACGTTTTCGTGACCGCGGGAGACGACGATGACGTTTCCGTGACCGCGGACGACGGCGATGACGTTTCCATATCTGCGAGAGGCAATGATGATGTCTACATGGCCATGGAAGATTTTCGTGATTTGCCGTGACCGCGAAAGACGACGATGATGATTTCTACACGGCCGCGTGATATTCTCATGATTTAGCCGTGATTGCGGCCGACGACGATGACGTTTCCGTGACCGCGGGAAACGACGTTGACGTTTCCGTGACCGCGGGAGACGACGATGACGTTTTCGTGACCGCGGACGACGGCGATGACGTTTCCATATCTGCGAGAGGCAATGATGATGTCCACATGGCCATGGAAGATTTTCGTGATTTGCCGTGACCGCGAAAGACGACAATGATGATTTCTACACGGCCGCGTGATATGCTCATGATTTAGCCGTGATTGCGGCCGACGACGATGACGTTTCCGTGACCGCGGGAAACGACGTTGACGTTTCCGTGACCGCGGGAGACGACGATGATGTAGACACGGCCACGGGAAATATTCATGATTTTGCCGAGATAGCGGACGACGACGAATATGACGTTTCCGTGACTGCAGGAGGCTATGATTATGTCTACACGGCCGCAGATGTTCATGATTTAGCCGCGATCGCGGACGACGATGATGCCGTTTACGTGACCGCGGGATCAACGATGATGTTTACACTGCCGCGGGAAATATTCATGATTTTGCCGAGATCGCGGACGACAACGATGACGTTTACGTGACCGCGGGAGTCAAAGATGATGTCCACACGGCCGCGGAAGATTTTCGTGATTTTGCCGCGATCCTGGATGACGATGATTACGTTTCCGTGATCGCGAGAGACGGCGATAATGTATACATACCGCGGGAGATGTCCAGGATTTTTCCATGAAAACGTAAGACTGTGATGACGTTTACGTCACTGTGGGAAGCGACCACATGACCGCAGGAAATATTCAGGATTTTGCCGCCGTTGATAATGTGTTCATACAAAATGAAGATAATATTCAGGATTTTGCTGCTATCGAGAGAGAAGATGTTTCCGTGGCCTTAAGTAATGATGATAATGAAAATGATTACTATAATAAGGATTATTACTTTTTCAACACTAGCTCACTATGGGCTTTGAAACAAATTTGATGTAAGTTTATATTGTATACTTAAGCTGCAAGTCTTAAATTGATTATAGTTTAAGTGGGACCAAAGAAATACGCGGGAACCTGGAAAAACTTTGAAAAACCAGGAAAAAACCTGGAATTTCACTTTAATAAAATAGTATACACCCTGTATTAGGCATGGCTGGAAATCGTGTAGGCCTACTTAAATTATATTTTGTTAAAAATAATAGGCCTAGTTCTTTATAAATATATTTTTAAGACATCCCATCATCTGAAAAACAATAACCTAAGCTGTCTAATGGTTATTTATCTGAAATTATTGTGATGGTTCTAAAAAACACACTCTTTGTGTGATTGAAATATCATTCAACTTTTTACCATATAGTATTAAACACTCTTGTACTCTCAAATAAATTGTTGGTTGTCATATAATACCTGCAAGCATTTAGACTTAATGCCTAATTTGTTATTTTGTAACAACAGTAAAGTGGATTCTGCCATCTTGAGCATACTGAGATACCGCTATGAGAACTGCATGATGTACGAGAAGCCCAACGAAGACAAATGCCTTCCGCTGATGGAATCATACGAAGAGGCAGCAGCTAACTGGTTCGCCAAATGTAAATAATTTTATTATTTTTTTGGATTACAAAAGTTTTCCATTAGCTAGTTTATTTTCTATATTAATATTAGGATGGAAGAAATGTTGTACAATGCTTTGTCCTTCAGGGATAAGTTTCAACAAAAAATTCCCTGATACACTTAAAAAATCTTTGATTAGAGCACAGGAATGGATGTATGCTCAATACAGTCAAATACTCCCGCTGCAGCAAACCTTCAGACTAAGCGAATTTCCTCTTACCTGCCTGAATTTCTACTAAAATATTCCCTAAAATTGTCAGATTTATTTCCTATTTAAATAACAACCACGGTTAACCGAAATAAAGGGGAGAGAGCCGTTTCGGATAACCAATTTTTTGGTTAACTCGTCATATGCTTAAAATAGCCTATGTATTACCATGCTGAGTTGGATAATAGATTTAAAACAATGTCTATTTACAGTATTTTATTTTAGCCACAGAAATGCTGTAATGGGTTAGAAAATGCTTTAAACTAAACAACTAAAGTTATTAAAGCATTGGTATTACTTATATTTTAGCCCTGTATTATTTTATAGCGTTTCGGTTAACCCAGGTTTCGGTTAACCGGGGTTCTACTGTACTTAGGATTGCTGCTAAGTAAGAGATATTGAGGTGTGTTTTTTTATTGAAATGTTGATAGCTTAGTATGAAATAAACAAAATTGTTAAATTTGATTTAAAACATCCACAATTTAAGCTCTACAAATTGGTTTAGAGAGAAATTATGAATTTTTTTTGTTTTTAGGGTCAAAAATGAGAATCTATTTTTACCCCATAAAACCCCCCATAAACCCCGTTCCCATGGTCCCATTATGCTAATTCTCGAACTTGTTTGAATAAGCCTAGGTTTACACGTTTGTACCAAATTTCATCAATATCAGATAATTTTTACTCGAGTTATTTCGCTAACGGACACACACATGTATGAATTTAAACTGTGTTTTTTGGCCTCTAGGGACCTCAAAACGAAAAAGTATTCACCTATTCATTATTTGGGAAATTTGCTAAAACAATAAAGCTCATTTGGTTTATAATGACACCCTTATTGCTTGATTCTTTGCATTGCAGTGAACCTATTTTGAAAAGATTGTATAGGTACTTAATACAATAAGGGTTTTCTCTGTAAAATCACTTTTGAGATGTCCTACTAAAACGATTTTCTAAATTGAGGTGTCATTTAAAAGCTCATTATCCAGCGCACCTGCGAACGGTAACAAAAAGGTAATTTCCTTAATGGCTTCGTCCCTCTTAAGTTTCAACTATTTCTAGAGTTCGCTTTCAAAAATCCAGTGTCGCTGACCAACTTTCTTTATGATGGTTTTTATGAATATTGTAAGCTAATCTAACAGCTGATACTTCAGTTGCATGTTTAACCACAGTCAAATTGTAAACAAGAGACAAACAAAACTGTTTAATGGATTTTAGTTTATAGGATACTTTCTTGATTATAGCAACCTGATTGAAGTAGGTAAATCACTCTTCACTCTGAAAGGTGTAGATCTAGATATATTCTCCCATATAAAAGACATCTATTTTCTCTATCCTAATCTTGACTTTCACTCACAGTATATAATTTTGTCTTAGATGGTGATCTCGGATTTAAGATGGACGTGGAAAAAGCTTACATGAAACAGAAACACCGTATGGTCTGGGAAAGACGCCACGGAAAAATCGGAACGGGAACAGAGGGAAATCGACCCAAAAGCGTTGAGGAGTCGCAGGGAGAATAGAAATTTGGAAGAATCGTTATAGTATCTCAGAATGCATTGTTTACATTTGCTTTTCCCCCTCTTTAATAGCTAATTAGGTTCAGTTTGTCCTGATATTTTCCATAAATGCATTCTGTCAGATTACTGGGCGATGTAATTGTAGTCAACTGTAAATAACTCATGTGGTACATTATTAAAATTGTTTTCAATAACTTTTCTGTTTAATTTAATAAAAACTTCCCACATTCCTCATCTTATTGTTTTAAAATATATAATAGGGTTGAGATTGACGTTTAGACTCAACACAAACTGGACCTGTCTTGTCTTGACCAGGACTTGTCAAGTATTATCTTATAACCTAACAAATCCTTTTGTTTTCTTACTCAAGGACGGGTGGCGTCGTCCTGTAATCCAGCTACTAGGAGGTCACGGATTGTGGATATTTATAGGTATGCACTGTGGATGGGATACTCCCTGGTGTGGATTAACGTCCGCACTAGTGAGTATTACGACTATCCGCAGTACTATCCTGATAATTAGACCAATTCGTATATACTAAGGAAAAAATTAGGTTCGGATTCCACTATAAACTGTAGGTCCCTTAGTTGCCATTAGCTGTTTGGGCTATTAATTAACAGCTGTGTCTAAGGAATGTCGGCCTTAGTCACTAACAAGACTACAAGATCGCGCCACTCATCCTACACTCATCTCCATTCATACTTGGCTTAAAATACCTACATTGTATGGTCGCCATTTCATAAGAAAGTATTAAAGTATTAAAGGAGTATCACTCATGTTTTGCTACATAAGCCTTGTCTCTGTACAAATTAGTTTGTAGGACATTGTGCTCATTAGACCTTGATGTAGTACTCAACATTGTAATGAGGAGGAAAGTGTTCTATTGCTCACACCAGGGCTCCTGCAGTCTTCATGATAGGGGAGAACTTGATATTCAGTTGTGTTTATTTTCTAGTTATAAATATTTTTTGTTGAAATTTCATTCAAATATTTTAATAGCAAATGTTTATGGTAAATGCAATCAAAAGACTTGTCAAATCAACCCCAAAAAGTTAAGTAAACTCTCTTGCATTACCTTTAAACTCTTTTAACAATCCAGTATTAGTTACTGGTGATATGAATTGTTACATGGTTTAGTGCCATTAGGAATTTAATTGTGAATAAGATTCAACATTGTTTTCTCGAAATAAGTATCATATTATTTATCATTGTGTTTGTTTTTAACCTGTAGATGATTTACTACAGGAATCATACTTTAAAGCTTAACTGCAAAAACTTCCTGACGTAAATCAAATTATTTACTCCATTACATCATCTTAGAGCTTGGGAAAACACAATGTTGAGTCTTATTTTTAATAAATTCTTAACAACACTAAACCGCGTGGACAACAACCATGCAACAGTACATTTCAACTGATTGGTAATGGAGTAGCAGTAGGGGAAGGAGGGATGTTTGTTTTGTGCCTAAAAGGAGACTAACACTATGTAATTCAGGTTGTTTTTTTATAACAAATACCCTGTAGCAAGATGTTTTTCAAGATCTTGTACAACATCCGTTTTCAATTGCAAACTACCGGTTAATGTTTTCTCGATTACACTAGGAAACATAAATGACATCACCCCATTTGTTTTTTCATTCATAAATGAAATTTTCATAATTCTTAAAGATAACACATTGAGTTATCAATTGAAAATACTTACAGATAAAGATAAACTGTTATTATCTAAATACAGCCCTGGTCTTTCTTTTCTTTTTGAGCTCTTAAGCTGCAACTGTGATGTTTTGTTAAAATTGTGATTTAGTTTAGAATTATTTTGTTTCTTCCTTACTATTATTTCATCTTTTGGTAAGTATGTAGATGGAAAGCTGCAGATGTTCATTATACAAAGTTATTGGTTCTAGTACGGAATTAGGAAATTGAAATCAATAGTATAATTTCTTTTACATTCACTATAACGCGTTGTCAGCAAAAATCACCAGGGCGGGTTACAAAATTCTTCATTTTTAGAAATTTTTTCTAAGGTGATGCTATAAAGCAATTCTATTATGAAAATGCTAGGGAATTTTAATACTCTTTTTCTTGACGGCTAATTGCCTCAGTTCTTGAATGCAGGCTGAGAACTATTCACATTTTGCCACTTAGTGCGGCATCTTCAGGTTGGTGTAAAAGAAGTCCTAAAAATCATAAATGTAAGTTATTTGTATTCTAATTTGTTTTTAACGACGGTGATGGTGTTTGGTTTTTATTACTGTTGTTATAACCATGTTTATTGCTGTTGGAGCTTTGTACACCAACTGTTTTTATTATTATTAAAAAAAGGTCAATACAAATATTTAATAAACTGTGTCTTTCAACACTTCATGTGTTTAAGTATTGGAAGACGCACTTGCTAATATGCAAAATTCCAATCAAAAGTTTTTGAAACAAGTTTTAGGCCAGGCCTCGTAAACAAAAGCATATATTTTTATCCTAACTTTTCCTGAAGAGCAATAATTTGTAACAATTACATCTCAATTTATCATTCAGTTTCCGTAGAAAGTTATCAAAATGCCATTGGTGGAAGCCTCTCTAAAGTCCTCGGACCCAGAGTTGTTTGAGTTGATCAAGCTGGAACGGAGACGGCAGTTGAGAGGACTCGAGATGATTGCCTCGGAAAACTTCACCTCGACCGCCTCGCTGGAGTGCCTCGGATCCTGCCTTACCAACAAATACTCCGAGGGACAGCCTGGAGCTAGGTAGAGAGATAGCTTAAATTCAGAAACATAGATTGTAAACTAAAACTATTCATTGATAACACCAATTTCTCGGATAAATTTCATCGATCAATGTGTCAGTAAGAATTTTAACAATAAAATATATGAAGCTTCTACTATTGGGTATCTAATAATACAGGGTTATTAAAAAAAGAATGGTGCAAAACTAAACGATTGGTACATCTGTTTCCTTAATTTAAAACAGCTGATTGTTACACCAATGGAAAGGGCATGTTCATAAGTTTGTTTTGACATCGTTATGTTTTGTTTTAGTTGCTTAGTTGAGTACTACAAAGCCTGCCAAAAAATGGCTACTACAAAACAAGAAAAGGCATTTTATGTTTTAGAATTTGCTCGTACTAATGCAACTATTAGTGTTCAGCAGAACTTTCAGACCAAATTTATAAAGGAGACTCCTCATCAGAACTGCATAGCTGGTTGGATGAGGCAATTCAAGACAACTGGATTTTTTGTGCCGGAAAGAGTTTGGGCCAACCTCAGACTCCACCAGACACTGTGGAGAGAATCGAAGCTATGTTTTCGCGGAGTCTAAAAGCGTCGACAGTCGGTCAAAGCTGGTAGAGAACTTCACAAACAGCAGTCCACAGTTTTACACAAGCCTTTGAGACTTTAACTCGTACAAACTGCAGTTATTACAAACATTGAAGCTTACTGACAAGCCAAAACGCACAGATTTTTGCCATGATAGCTTCAATTCTTGTTGATATTCTTTGATTTTGTCGACAGGTTTCGTGGTTTTGCAAAAGAACCGTTTAGTTTTGCACCATTCTTTTTTAAGAACCCTGTACTATTGGCTAAGATAATAATACTAGAAACTACATAAATGTTTAATATATAATTACTGTTGTTTTAATTACTGCTTTTTAGTTTAACGGGAACATTCCAGGTACTATGGAGGCAACGAGTACATAGACAAGATCGAGGTGTTGTGTCAAAAGCGAGCTTTGGAAGCCTTCAATATCAGCCCAGAGGAATGGGGAGTGAATGTTCAGCCGTATTCTGGATCTCCGGCCAACATGGCTGTATATACTGCCTTGCTACAGCCCCATGACAGAATTATGGGTAAGGGATGTAGTTGATATTTTACAGTACTTTTATCAGTCCATAGTGCTAAACAGAAATAATCTGCTGGTAGTGACAACGCCTGCCTTTTACAATCAGAAGGTTGCAGGTTCAATCCCGAGAAAAGTCAAATACTTTTTGAAGATTTGGAATTTGACCCGGATGGCCTTGATGGCTTGATGGCGCTTTCAAATGATTCTAGCTATAGAAGTAGCTGGTCTTAGGTCAAAGGTCAACTTGTGAAAGGTTTCACTTCATTCATTCAAGTCTTATCATTCACTCCATCTTTCCCAAATTAAGAACAAGTAACTAAGTTGATTTGACTAAAACCAGTTTTTTGTATAGGTACAATTTGTGTCCTGTCAACAATTTCACAAACAATTGTTATGATATAAAAATTACTGTGATTATCACAGAAAACTAATCAGAAAACAGAATAATCATTAATACCACAAAATATTAACGAGCTGTAAATATTTCTAGGATAAAAATAAAATACAATTCTTTATTTTTTAGGTTTGGATCTTCCTGACGGAGGGCACTTAACACACGGTTTTATGACAGCAACAAAGAGAGTTTCAGCATCTTCCATCTTCTTTGAATCAATGCCTTACAAGGTGGATCCAGCAACCGGCCTCATAGACTACGACAGACTGGCGGAGAACGCAAGACTATTCAAGCCCAAGATGATTGTTGCAGGTAAAATAAATAGACCAAGGTTTTCTGTGACGATAACAAAATTTCAAATTAATATTTTTATTGAACATAGTTTTGGCTTTAACACGTTCGCTGCTATGGACGTTCCGGAAAGTCAGCTGGGCCACGGCGCCAGGAGCTAGAAACGTTCCGGAACGTCACCATTCATTGTTGTTTAACTTTGCCATGGATAAGCCAGCTCGTCACAAGCGTCCTATATTTCTTTGCAGCTCGTGGGGACGTACTTTTCTGACAATAAAAAATATAGTTTCCCAAAATCACCATCAGGGTCATTTGGAACAGGGCTTTGTTCCACCTCTTTCCTGCTAGATAGCGACACTACTTTACCGACTGTAACCTGGGTAGTGCTGCTATCTATCAGAATCACTTAGTACTATGTCCAAAGCCAGTTTTATTGCAGAACATTGCCATCCAGTATAACTACTGTTGTTTTTACTGTATTTAGTGTATCAGCGGCAATGTCACGCAGCAACCGAGCGTTAGTTCAGCTCCTGGCGCCGTCCCGGCATCTAGCGGTCAGCAGCGAACGTGTTAAAAGAGTGAATTGTATGATAAGCTTACAGTGGACTTTGAAGGAAGAGTATAGAATCAGAATACATTTTTAACCATAGATTTTTCTAGGGAAACACCTCATGGACA